GACAGTTTTTCCACTTATTTTCCCTTGAGCATTACCTAATTGTAGAGTGCACCTTGATATGCTACAAGCTGATTAGGTAGAGTTTAATGTGCCTAGAGTAAATGCCAAAGAAATAATACCGGTTTCCCTATGTACTCTAATTTTATTAAATATGAGCCTTTGCTATCTAAAGATTTGGAATATCAGTTGAGCATATTTTATTTTGATTTATTAATATTAATGCTGTCTTTAGTATTTTTTTTTTTTACATTTATAAATTAGAGTTACTGTCTCCCTCCCTCCCTCTCTCCACTCCTCTCCCTCTCCCTCCCTCCTCCTCCTCTCTCTCTCCTCTCTCTCTCTCTCCTCTCTCTCTCTCTCTTCTCTCTCTCTCCTCTCTCTCTCTCTCTCTCTCTCCTCTCTCTCTCTCTCCCTCCTCTCCTCCCTCCCTCCCTCCCTCCCTCTCCCTCTCTCTCCTCTCCCTCTCCTCTCCCTCTCCCTCTCCCTCTCCCTCTCCCTCTCCTCTCCTCTCCCTCTCCCCTCCCTCTCTCTCTCTTTTTCTTCTCTCTCTCTCTCTCTCTCTTCTCTGTCTCTCTCTCTCTGTCTCTCTCTCTCTCTCTCTCTCTCTCTCTCTCTCTCTCTCTCTCTCTCCCTCTCCTCTTCCCTCTCCCTCTCTCTCCTCTCCCTCTCCTCTCTCTCCCTCCCTCTCCCTCTCCCTCTCTCCTCTCTCCTCTCTCTTTCTTTCTCTTTCTCTTTCTCTTTCTCTTCTCTCTCTCTCTCTTTCTTCTCTCTCTCTCTCTCTCTCTCTCTCTCTCTCTCTCTCTCTCTCTCTCTCTCTCTCTCTCTCTCTCTCTCTCTCTCTCTCTCTCTCTCTCCCTCTTCCTCACTCTCTCCCCCCCCTCTCTCTTCTTTTCTCTCCCCCTTGCTTTGGAAACATGGTATAGTAACACCAATTTTCAAGTCGGGGGATATAGACGATGTGAATAATTATCGCCCTATTACTATATTCCCTGTATTTCCCAAAGTTCTTGTAAAAAAATGTAGCAAATCAACTAACGAGTTTCCTGGAGTCCAATAACTTTTCTAAAACGCATCATGATTTTAGAAATGAGTTATCAACTGAAAAAGCTTTACTATAAATTACTGATGAGATTTATGATAACAAGGAGAATAATCAGGGTAAAGTGCTCACATTATACGGACCTTTCAAAGGCTTTTGATGGTGTCCATTGCCAGAAGTTATGCGCTTTGACAAATATAAATCATAAATAATACAAAATTCAGTTTATTATTTGCCCATTTTTGGTTTAATGAGTTGTCTTTAGGATACACGAGATTTGGGTATCATTCGCTAACTCTAAAACAAATCGAGATTAGAATCAATGAAATATGCCTCTATTATATACCTAACAAGGTAATCAATTTTTATGATTATAAATCTAGATCTAAAGAATCCACTTCAGTAACTGTTGGTTCGCGGACGATAGGACATCTCCATAAGTTCCCTTTAAAGGTGCCGATTCCGAAGTATAAGGTCACAATTGTACATAAATTAATTTGAGTCAAGGTCAACATTAGCCAATAACTGCCTTTCTAAGTCCGCATGTAGCCACGATGATTCCTACTCACGTTCTTTCATTGGGTTATCAGCGGAAAATCCAAACCTAAGACTATACTCATCAGTAATTAAGTATAAGATCAATCACATATAAGCTAATCATCAGCATAATATGCCAATGTACTATATAAGATGCCACGTCTAATAGGATCTCAGCTACTAACTAATATCAACAGTAAGACGTTCTTCGTAGAATGAATATTCATAAGTTAGCACGGCTAACATGAGGCCTAAATATTCTCTAACGTCACAGCAACACGTCGGTATTGATTGCTACATTCTTTTGTTTTCATCAAGACTTTTGGGAAGATCAGGGAATTATAGTATAGGGCGACTAATTTATTCCACGATCGTCTATATCCCCGATTGAAAATTGGTGTTAATTCGTATATTCCATGTTCCAAAGCAAGGTGGGAGAGAAAAGAAAGAGAGAGGGGGGGGAGAGTGAGATAGAGGGAGTGAGGAGAGAGAGAGAGAGAGTATGAGAGAGAGAGCAAGCAGAGAGAAGAGAGAGAGAGAGAGAGAGCCGAGAGGAGAGAGAGAGAGAGAGAGAGAGAAGAGAGAGAGAAAGAGAAAGAAAAGAGAAAAGATAGGCTGCTAAAAGATGTTGAAAACGGAAGCTAGTCTCTAATGAAGAGACGAAAGAAGCAGGAGAGGCGAGTATCAAGAGGAAGAGGAGAGGGAGAGGGATGAGGGAGTAGGAGGTACAACGATGTGGACAGAAGGTGTAGATGCGACGAGCATTTGAAGCGACGACCAGTGAGCCAGGAAAGTTGTGGACAGCAGCCCTAGGTGAGATCCTAAGCAAGCGATAGAGAGAGAGAGTGCAAAGAGAGATGACAGACCATGAAAGCTTAGAGAGATACGACTAGAAGAATGAGTAGCTAGTAGCTATAGTAGCAAACATGAGAGCATAGTAGCATAAAAAGAAGAGAGCATTGAAGGGTATAGTTTAGTATCAGGAGAGGTCGTAGAGAGATTGACGGTAAGAAGAGGGAACGAGGGAAGTGAGGCGAGAGAGCGGTGATAGGAAGTGGACAGAAACGGAGCAGAGGAGCTGAGTGCAAAGGTAGGTTGGAGATACTAGGAGATAGGGACGGTCCGAAGGATATTCAGCTAAGACTTGATCGACACGTCAGCAGGGAACCGCATACCCGGCATCGGCCCCCCGCAAAACAGAAGAGGCTAAAATGTCGTTCTAAAGTGCAGTTGAATGACGGAGTAGTGTAGTGACAGTGCAACGCAGCGATAATGGAATTATCCGCAATGCGATTAATGCCGTGCAAACTAGTAGGGAAGCGACATAGAGGGTGTCCATCGTCAATGATAAATATCCTGTATAGTATGAAGAGTCAGACAGTACTGGATGACGAAAGGGGAGAATGAAGATGGAGATAGATACGATGCAACCAATGAGTAGGACGACATGTACCAGAAGTATGGATTGCAATGTAAGAGCAGTTTGCTGAGGAGATTTAGAACACGAGGTAAAGAAGACCTAGGTTGGTGAACGATAGGAGTGCGAATAGAAGGTTCATAGAATGGACAGGTTATAGTGTACAAGAATAAACCATGCTGCACTGATATAATTTAGGTAACGAATAGTAACTGTAATTATAAGTACAAACTACGTATGTAACGTTAGACATACTCTTAAATCATTAATCAATACGTCAACCATAATTATACATATCCTCAACTGGTATTCCCAAAAATCTTTCTAGCATCTCTTAGCTCACAACCGCTCTCATACTTCCCCTACATCATCAACCATTAGAGCACACCTCTTAGCGAATCACCTCATGCTCTTCCTCCTCATCTTTCTTTGGCATTTGACTCCTACCGCACATCTATCTATCTCTCCTCTCCTAAAGGTCAGCCGTCTCCTTGTTAGCCTTCATCGACTCAATCGTGCCCCTCTACAATTAGGATCAATGCTCAATGGGGAACCCATACAATGTGGAACCAAACTGGTCTCATAGAATATCAGTTTAATCATAAAATAACATTGGCCCACTACATCCTCACTCTCTCGAAGCCTCAGTATCTCTTTCGCTCACTCTCAGATCATTGCAATTCTCTCTCTCTTCGTCGGCCCCTCCGCTCACATAAATTTTCTCGGCTGTCAGCCGATCAGTCGGGGCGTCTTCTCTTACTCTTCTCTATCTCGTCTAAGCAGTCTGCTACACAACTACACCGAGCTCCTCCTCCACACAGCGACATGGAGGGTCTGTTTAGCCTGTGTTAAATACAAAATATCTGAATTCCATGAGGCTCACCTTTGTGTGTGTATGGTTCACAGTATAGGGTAGAGTCTTTCAACCATGCAGTAAAAACATTTATGGCATAATGTGAATGTTTCAGGCATCCTTGACTGGACATGTATCTAGTCTCTCGCATAAATTTTTACTAACACTTCTTTGCAAAAGTTCTGCTATGTACTTCTTGCAGTCTGCACTTCTGCTGTTGTGTAAGTAACCTGCTTACGCAGACTTGCGTTTCGTGTTTGTCTGTTTCGTGTGTGGGTGTGCGTGTGTGTCTTGTTCCTCCTGTACTTGCGTTCTGTGGTGTGTTGCAGTAACCTTGCTGTGTATGCAACAAGGTGGTTGCTCACGTTGAACTGCTGAGATATTTTGTGGGTGTTGTGTGTGGTCTCATGCCTGTTGTGTGGTTGTGTTTGCTGATGTCTTCGGGTTTCTTCGAGGAAACTGTCCGTTGTGCGTGTCCCGATGTTGTTTCTTTTGGCGGTTTGTTGCTGGTGAGCTTTGTTGAATTCGTCTCCGGCAATCGCTGTGTAGAGGAATTATATCATTATACGTAATCTCTTTACTCATTTTTATTCCTTCATATGCTTATTAATACTTTATTTGTACTATATTTTTCTTTTTACTATTGTCTATGTACACATCATATATCGTATCTACTATTCTAACTTAAAAGTGCTCTAGATAAACAACAATCACAAAAAATCATAAACATTCTTTAACTACGGCACACGTGATAAGACAAAATTTTCTTCTCAATTTTAATGAAGCAACTATCATTTCAACATTTTTTTTCTTTTTTTTTTTTTTTTTTAGGGATAAATGTTCATATCATAGTATGATAAGGTCATTGATTGCCTTTGAATTACTTTTTTGAAGCATTCCACCTTCTGTTCCCAAAGGCTACGAGAAATTCAGGAGTGATGCCGACCGAGGAGATGCCAATGCCAGATGCTGATACAAGAGGAAGACCTTTGTGACCTGAGAAAGGTGGAAGAAGAAAATAATTTAAGTTGATGGATTGTTTGATTTTTATAAATTTCGTAGTCGACTAAAATTCCTATATTATCGTAATGAGCAAGAGTCATTGCTGAGATAGGAGGTGTTGAAATAATTCATGTTTGGATCATGATAGAAAC